GAAGATGGCACACTAAGAAGGAAACCTACAACAACAGATCAGTACACTCATATTTTGAGTTTTGTACCATTGAAATATAAACGTAGCCTAGTAAAGTGTCTGGTTCAGAGAGCTAAGTTAATCTGTTCAAACGACTGCCTCAATGAGGAGCTTAAGATTATTAGAGAATTACTTAGAAATAATGGTTATCCAGATAAATTCATTGAGAAGAATATGAATTCAGTACCAAGGAGAGTCAGTATTGCTACAGTTCCGAAGAAACCAATGTTCATAAAATTGCAGTTCCTCGGTGACAACATCAGCGAAATCATAACACAGCGCCTGAAGAATGCAGTTAAAAGAGCTTACTATGCAGCAGAGGAACGTTGTCTCTTCACAACTACCCCTTTTCTATGTTCGAGAAATAAGGATAACCTACCTAAATTCGCCTCTTCTATGTGTATCTACCAGTTTGACTGCAGCTGCGGAGCCAGCTACATTGGGCGTACAATTAGGCAGGTTCATCGTCGTATTTCTGAACACCATCCAACATGGTTAAGCAAGGGACAAACAAGATCTATTCGTAGTTCTATTTTAGCACACCTTCTTGATACTGAGCATAAGGTTGATTGATATTAATACTGCATTTAAAATTATTTATCGCATTCCTACTAATCTTAATTTTGCTCTACGAGTTCGTCTTCTACAGACAGCTGAAGCAATCGGAATCCACCTGAAGAAGCCAAGCCTATGTGTTCAGAAGAAATTTGTACAGCCACTTTCCTTACCGTGGCCATCGTTACAAGAATGCATAAACAGGACTACATCGCCCCCTCTGCCTAAACCTTTAAAAACTATTTATAAAAATTATAATTGTCCAAATTTATTTCATTTTTATTTATTTTGACCACTTCATCTTTAATTACGTGTTATCCTTGTAAAATTAATTTATTCTATCCATTTCTACTTTTTAAATGTGTATTGATTTTCTGCGTTAATTATCAACCCATTGACATTTTGACACTGTTTAATTATTGTTAACAAACATGTCACCACTTGTTTGGTAAATTGTTGTGTATTGTAAAAAATGCTATACATATTAGAGTAGAGCCAGAGAAGAGGATTAAATTGAAAAGTAAATATTTCTTCACTCAATCTTTCTGTTTTCTAAATGTCTAAATGGGGATTTTTTTTCTACATTCTCTGTTAATTCGTATGAGAAATGGACACACTAGGAGGCTTGAATTCCGAGTGGAATCTAACTCTACGGCTTCAACAACAAATCTCCATTTCGCCCTATCCTCTGCAATCCTCTTCAGCTAGCCCCCACAAGTGTCCATAGTTTCTCATCTCCTCCGCCTAACACGATATCCATTATTTCATCCTCAGATCCCCTAACTCATCATTTTCCATTTGAGTTCTCTTCGAGAGTATGCCGCATGATATCACTCAGCTGTCTCTTCAGCCTGTGCCCGATCCAAATGCATTTTCTTCAGAATACTTATCGGGGCAGTAGGTTCTTTATTGGTTCGTTCTCAAAGTTTGTAGTTGCTAATACTTTCTGGCCATTTGATCTTCAATATGGAGCCAGCCAACGAAGGTGGGAGATGTTGATAAAAGTTTGATGTGACTTGTTGGAAATCCTATTTACTGATATTTGTGTCGAATCTTGTTCTTTACGCTGAGGCTGAGTGCAGAAGATTTTCAAACTGGATTCAGGTTGATGAAGGCGTATCTTGCCTTTCCGACTCTTGTTTTGACATCTTCATCCGTTCCTCCTGTAGTTGAAACGATGCTTCCTAGATAAGTGAGGGAAATAACCTCTATCAAATCTCTCCAGTTGATGGTGACTGGTGATGGTTTTTGTTGCTGTTGGTTTGTTATTTTCATCACCTCTATCTTCTCTATGTCCACCTAAAGTCTTGTTTTTACTGCTTGCTTCTTCAGCCAGTTTTTTTGGTTTTCAAGTGTAGTTCCTCGAGTTCATGTGGCATTAAACATAAATCATTCGCGAAGTTTCCTTATCGGTGGTCCAGCGTATTCCTGTCTTCTCGTTCTCCACACACACACACAGTGTGATGCATAATCCAGTCCTTCATGATCAAGAATATCATCCGGGATAGTAGGCAGACAAGCTTGTCTTACTCCTGTATTCACTTTGAACCGCTCGCTGAATTTTCCGTTGTGGATCACCTGACACACGGTAGGCATTATCATATAACCAGATGTTGAATGAAGTTGATAAAAACTTGACCACTGTACACTGTAGTGTTGAAGTAGTTTCCAAATGACTTCTCGGTCAGCGCTTTCGAAGGCCTTTTTAATATCGATGGAATTGGGGTAAAGGTTTGAAATCTAGACTGTATTAGTATTATGCATTAATAATAATAATATAAGGCTTCAGAAAAACACACTTTCATTGTACTCTGCACTAAGAAGTCACTATCACATACCTACAAGACTGCTCACCCGACCGAAAGCTGCTACCTTGACGTGGTGGTCGGGCTTGAACACCGCAATGACCCAACAAGCTATACTGGCTGAGACTTATGTCGCTTGAGGTCCTACCATGCCAGAAAGGTTGTTTGGATAGCGGTTAGACAAAAAGCAGTTACCCAACCCAATGCTATGACTCAAAGTAAATCACAAAATATCATGCCGGATCGGTCGGGGCCCGGATTAACAACGACCGCGCTTTCTGCTGCCGTGTCACAGGGCAGAAGTGATAAATATGCTACTGAGACACACCAAATGAAAAAGAACAAACAAAAACAGGCCGTGTGTGACCGGCCTCAAGCAGTTGTCCCCTGGGCTCTGCGGTCACGCAACCAACTTCCACGGTGTGGGCAGCCGGGAAGTAACAATCGCCTCACAATCCGAAGTGCACGCGAAACCTCTCTAATCCTCACTCATCTTTGTCTTCATCTTCATCTCTATTATCTTGCCTTCCTTCTACTAATGCAACTCCTCTACTTGATGGCTCTTCACTTCCTCTTCACTCTGTGTGCACTGAAAACGACGGAAGCCAAAAAACCACCATCGATAGTCTCCTAAAGCCACGCCACCAATTTCATATAGGAGCATTTAATGTTAGGACACTTTCCCTGACAGTTAAACTGAGTCAGGTAGGGAGGGAGATGCAGACTTCCGGGTTGGGGCCCGGCCCACCCTCGGGACTCTAAGAATCAATCAACGGCTGGAGACAATAGGTGACATGGCTCAAAATCGTTGTCAATGGCTTACGCAGATGTATTCAGTCTCTGTAATCTTTCATATTGCTTTCTACCATTACTCATTCTGTTTCACTGTTATACTTGTCAAAACTCTATTGATTCTCTTCACTCATTTTCTTGTCTCCCTTTGCGTGGTATTTGGAACGTGGCAACTGGAACTGCTGCACTTCGGTGCCAAGTTCTATGTTGAATCCAGACAGACAGAGACAGACAAGACTGCTCAGAAGATTTCATTCTCCCTTCAGATGATCTCCTCCATTTCACCCTCAAAACTACACCCAAATCGTCTCTTCGTCCCTATCGATTGACCTCTAATGCATACATTAAATTCTACACTTAACCTCATCATTACCGACCATATTATATACCCTTTGACACAAGAGGTGATAAGCGGATAACTGCAGTCAACAACAGCTACCTTCTTCAAATCTTCCACTCTAAACGGGATGGATAGAACTGTCGTGTGGCATATACGTCACCAGACACCAGAAAGTAGACTGCCTCACATATTTTACGCCTTAGTACTTCATTTACCACTGCATGATTCCCATTGATAGACAGACAACACAATTATAAAAATGTCAAGAAATGTCAAACGAGATTAGATAGACAAAATTTCACTTGTTTTTTTTATTTATAATCATTTCAAAATTGACAAGGAATCAAAATGGATCCAGGATGGGGGTGGGTGGGTTGTAGTAAGACAATAAAGGGCAAAGAAGGCCTATAAATTATACAAGAATAGGAGTTAAACACACATACACACACACACATGATCGTATTCGCCAACGCATCATAATCAACCATAACATTTCGAACTACTACTTAAAACAGTGATTGTAAGTAGTATTTATCAATTAAGAGTAAAATAAAAAATATTCAGCAAGTTGAATCATATCATTTTATATAGGAATAATAACATAATTAATATTGATTTGTGTAGAATCATGATCAGATTACTGATTGAGATCAATGAGCCTTAATCAGACTGTGAGCAGATCAGCCACGCCCAGTAAATGAATGCTTTTTTTATATATATGTATATGTTTAATCGTAGTAATGTTCTATTGATTCTTCTAATATATGTATATATATTTTTTTCTGTTCAAGGCCACTTTTTGTTTTAATTAATCAAAATAAATAAAATTCAAAATGCGCTAAAATCAAATTCCCATTGTTTGAGGGAGTAAGTAAACTATAATATACACAGAGATTCGTTTAGTATATATATGTATGGAGGTGGGGGACACATACAGTTGGGGAGACAAAGGATCAGTGATGTGTTTTTGGTTGACAAGTACTCAAATATCCAAGGAATAAAACTAACAATAGTAATAATAATGATTGAAGTAATTAATGTTGTAAAAAACAAACAGAGGGAACTATAAAACATTGAGTTGTTGTGTAATTTCATTTCAATAAAATGCATGTGCAAACAATGTTTCTGTTTGAAATAAACAACAATAACAACACAAAATGATTATGATAGTCAGAGCAAGGATAACAAACAGAGTTAAGGTCAAGGGTATGTTTTGATTTGATTTGATTCGACAGATTTATACACTGATATGTGAGTAGAAATGAGGCAGACAGACAGACGGAGAGATAGACGGAGTGACAGTGTGTATCTGTATGTTTGTGTGTGTGTGGTGGTAGGAAATTTAAAGGAAAAAGCAATCAAAATCAAAATGTGTGTGTATATTGACATTTAAATTACATAATTATCCCATTTAAGGGTGTTTGTTATATATGGATAAATATGTGGAGTACACAGAGGTGATGCAATTCTCAATTGAGATTATTAGCAGTCTGTAATTCTCTCTGACGACTAGATGCTTTGATACGCTCTTTAGGTGGACCTTCACCGATTTGTTGAGCAAATAAACGCATTTTCTCTTTGAATGGTAGGAGTTCTGCATTAGGCGGTGGTTTGACAGTTATCTAGACAAAATAATACAGGGAAAAATAACATTAAGGTAGACTGTTCGTAGTAGAATAATAATAATAGTAATAGTGATAATATTACCCGATTATGAGGATTCAAACTGAATGGGGGTTAAGAAGTCAACACATTGAAATCAGCTGGGATATATTCGAGGGAAAGAAGTCCATGGCAAACGAACACCCATGGTAAAAAAAAGATTGACAGTATTCCCTCACTAACTGAAAGTTGGGGACCGGGCATTTTATTTTGGTGGAACCCTGAGGAGTTACAAACTTGGACGAAACAGGTGTCCAGTGATCTTCGGCTATCAATGATTCTCTAATTGACATCGATTCGTTATCCACTTACAACTTGAAACCTTACCTTCTGAGTGGAACATAGGGAATTCAAACTTGGGCTTTGAGTTAGTTCCAGGTTGAAACATCCATACAGTGCTGTCTAGGCAATATGGTATTCTTGTAAATCATTAGGCATCAAGAACCATTTGTGATTCATTGACCAGTAATGAATATACACACTAAGGATCAAAGTCGTTACTTTCAAATCATACAGTTCGACGTTAAGACTCACCACAGTTTCCTCCACACTGAACACCAGAAAGGATTAGCAACAACCAACTCACTGACATACAACCTATCTAAATACTTACTCTCGATACTACAGCCACTACAAAAGGATACTCAAAATATTGTAAGAAATTCATATGATTTCAAATCCCAAATAGAACACCAAGAAATTGATAAAAAGAAGAAATTATGGTAAGCTATGATATTAACTCATTATATACTTGTATCCCTATTACCGAAAGTCTTGACATCATTTCCAGTCTACTAGAATCATATACAACTCTGTCACAAAGATGTTCACTGGACACCAGTGAAATAATTGAGGGCCTGAAATTCTGTCTAGAAAGTAATTATTTTACATTTGAAGGGAATTTATATAGACAGAAAACTGGTATTGCTATGGCTTCACCAGTTTCCCGAATAGTCACTGACCTTTTCATGAATAGATTCGAAGATAACATCTTTTCAAGCATACTTACTCCTAAAATATGGTTAAGATATGTAGATGATATTTTTGTAGTGCTAAAACGAGATCTACACAGTTCATTCTTGAAGAAACTGAACAATCCATCTCCCAGAATGCAGTTTACTTCAGAAGCAGAATAAGACGTCGGTAAACACTGCCTAGTTAAGAGGAGGGAAAACGGACATTTTATTAAACCTATATTCAGGAAGAAAACCCACTCCAATAAATAATTAGACTTCAAATCATCACACCCCATCAGCGCAAAGATTTCAGTTGTTTCAAGTCTTCTTAGACGAGCACACTCTTTGATGTTAACGTATGAGGAGGAAAGAGGAGAAGAAGAAATATTACTGAGACTCTCAAGCGAAATAACTACCTAAAGTGCTTCATCAACAGAATCAACACAGACATTAAGTATGGTCGAAAAGGCATCCCGAAAACATGGACCTCGACAGTCGTCATTCCATATAGAGCAGAGACGTCAGATGATGTCAGAAGAGTACTCAATAAGTTCGATATTAGAGTTTTCTTTAAAACATCAGACACACTACGAAACAACCTTGTCCATATAAAAGACCAGATCCCTAAAGATTCTCTATCTAATTGTGTCTATAAAATAAAATGCTTGGAATGTGATGCGATATACATCGGACAAACATCTCGAGAAATCAAAATCAGAAGAAATGAACACCGTAGAGCATCTGTTCGACCACCAAGAAATCCGGTTGAACTAGAAAAACTTGAAAAATCATCAGCCATAGGTCGTCTACACACTATAGAATCAGGTCAAAAAATTGATTTTGACAATATTGAAATAATCCAGAAAAACTTTAGAAATCACAAAGAACGTCTCATTTCATCAAGTGGAATCCAAATTGTCTGAATAGGAATGATGGGCTAAAACAGAATTTGACCTGGTTACAACACCTCCATCCCCCATGAAGTGAAAAGATCAACACGAATGTGATATGCAAGTTCAATATGTAAACACAAACTGCCTTTATAATTTTAAACACTGATCAAATCCAACAATCTACACTTGGTTTTGTTATCTTTACCAATTGACCAACTTGACAACTAAAAATGCCCCCAGACTAACGAACGATGATCAAGTTAGTAAACTTTGTTTTGATACCATAACAGATGTTCTATTACCTTTGCTATTTGGTTTAGTGATCTTCATTGTTATTTTAACTTTCAATATGCTGAGATTTTGTAAATTCCGGTTTAATAATACTTTGATAAAGCTATTAGCATTAAATAGCGAAACGTCAGTAAAAACAAGGACAATATGGTTTTGTTTTTCATTCATTGGGAAATACAAGTAAACCTTTATTATAATGAATATCATATACCCGATGCCCAAAGTTTTTCAAACTGTTAAAGTGAACTTGGTTTGGACATATATAAAAAGCAACCTATTACTTGACAAATATGCAGAATTTCGACAACCCAATAAGAAGACATAGTTTATCTGAAATGTGTAACTCGTCGACAAGATGGGTCAGTAAAACGATCTGTCTGCAGTAAGTTCACATGAACAGGATAGTATCTAAATTATCATAGTTTCTGTCCATTACAGTATAAAAAGGCAGTGGTTAAGTGTTTGTTCAAGCGCATTCACCGTATTTGTACTGCCAACACAAGTGAAGAAGAAAGGCAACAAATACCTCACTGGAATATTGTTAGATGACAATTACCCGCTGAGATTCATTAAGCGTTACGAAAATGTAAACCAAAGAGTTCTACAAATCCAGTCAGCTGTCAGAAATGATGTTTATATATTTTTGCCGTTTAGGGGTGATCAACAAAGTCTGATCACTAAACAAAGACTCAAGACGGTAATCCATAGAACTTATTATGCAGCTAAACTTATCTTCATAGGAAAAACGAGAACTATACTGTCCGGTGAAGCCTCACAGTATCCCTACGATAGTGTCACATCACATTGTGTTTATCAATTTACGTGTATATGTGGACACATATGCACAGGAAGGAAGCATAGGTCTACAGAACATATCCCAAAGTGGCTGCAACAGCAAATAAAATAGCCAGAAACAATCGATCCCGGAAATAGATGTCCAACATCATCTATAGCGAAGCACATTATGGAGACGGGTCATAAGGTTGATTTCAATAATGCCTTTAAACCCATATATATATAATGACAAGGTTGGGTACATATTAATTGTTGAAGCTTGCCATAAAAAGACTTAAACCTGTCTTATGTGTCCAAAAGTTATTTGTTATTACTTTAAACCTGCCTTGGTAATCCAATTAAGAACCATGGTTCAGTTTACCTCATAATATTTTCAACCCCTTCTTTGCTTTGTTTTTTCTTTCTTACCCACACCTTTGCGTCATCTCCCTACCCCCTTATTTGTGAACTTGACCTGTACACAATCTGACCTGTATTGTGATAATTCATGCCTTCTTGCCTTCTATATAATTGTGTATGACAAGTACTTGTGTATGTGTGTGTGATCAGAATGTCCGAAATGTGTTGCGCAAATACTCATTACACACGTTTCAGATAAACTACATCTTCTTATTGTGTTGTCGAAATTCATAAAGGGATGGATTGGGTATCCACTGAGGTGACTGTTGAGTCAGATAACACACACACAGTGTAGGCCCTAGACAAGGAAGGTGAGTGGGAAGTGACGAGTTGGGCTTAATGGTCCGAGGGTAACATGAAGGACATTGTGTTAGAGGGTGGTGACAGCCTATAGGCAATCATGGAGTTAGCTAAACAGGAACTACAGAGAACAGGAAAAAATGGAGATGTGCTTTTAAAGTCTTATATTCCAATTAGAACTCAAGGGGGTAATAACATATTGAAGTAGATGTGCCTCATAAGCTCAATCATTCTAATTCCCCATGCCCACGACTGCCTACCTAGGCCAACTAGATGATATCAACAGAACTCACATAGTATGTGCAGCTTCCAAATTGATGATCAATTAAATTAAACAACTATAACAAAGCGAAGGTGGAATTTCTATCTTGGTAACCATCCAGCAATAACAACAATAACAACCAGCACCAATCACAATCAACGGGAGAGATTTGAATGAGGTTACCTCCTTCACTTATCCAGCTAGGGAGTATCGATCGTTTCAACCACAGGCAGTTGGTTGGAACGGATGAAGATGTGAAGGCTAGCCAGAATCAGAAATGCAAAATACGCCTTCATCAACCCGAAACCAGTTTGGGTATCTTCTGCACTCAGCGAGCACAAAGAACGAGATTCGTATCTTCAACACAAATGTCAGTGTCAGAAACTTGGACAGCGTGTCACGAGAAGGATTTCCAACAAGTCACTTCAAACTTTTATCAACATCTGCCACCTTCGCTGGCTCCATACTGAAGATCAAATGGCCGGCCAGAAAAAATTAGTAACAAGAAACTCTGCAGTGAAACAAACCAATCAACAGGCGAAAGTCGATTGCTCAACAGATATGTAGAGAAAATGGCGATGGGTCAGTCGGGCATACATTGAGGAGACCGTCGAATGGCATCACGGGCAATGCAGGCCATCGCTCGAGTGGAATCCGTATTGGAAGTGACGAGTGGTTTGTCGGTACGAGGGTGACATGGAGGAAGAGATGAGCGATTATGGTCAATCGGGGAACTAGCCAGCTGAAGAGGACAGCAGAAGACAGAACAAAGTGGAGATGTGTTGTTGAAGCCCTATATTCCACACAGAACCCAAGGGAATAATAAATAATAATAATACAAATACTCTCAAACGTTTACCCCTCCACTAACAGTCAGTTCATAAGGTGTTAAAGATCCAAATTTTGGTTTAACATTAAAGATTTTCAATAGTTGGTTTGTAAGGATTAGTTTTGTTTTTACGAGTTGATCACGGATTGATATCAGTTAGATAACCTTTGAAAATCAGCACTGGAGTACTGGACAGCTGCTGTTTCATCCTAGTTTGGGAATCATCGGCAGTACA